CTCCTTCAGTGATGAACGAGTCCATGAGTCTCCTGCTTGGACATCTGCCCATCTCCACCTGGATGTCCCTCACACACACTGGGGCCCGACCTCAATTCATCTTATTCCCTAAAACCAGCAGCTTGGTCAAAATCCTCTACTATCCTATTGTCATCATCATCCACCCATCATCCGACCGAAAAATATTGACTCTACTCTCTTTCCTGGTTTCCATATCCAGCCAGATGCTAATATTTTATTTTGCATCCACCAAATACTTCTTGAATCTCCATGTCTTCACCACCCATCCATCACTTTCCTGATTAATGTCCTCGTCTTCACTTGTGAAAAGTATTCCCTGTCTCTCTAGTCCCTGTCCTCCTTCTCCCCATCCTCCCTCCACATTGTGCCCAGAAGGATCAACCTAAGATGCAAATTTGATCATGTCAGACCTTTATTTAAAACTCCTAAGTACCTTCTCATCCCCTATAGGAGAGAGTCCTAACTCCACAGGATGCTGAAAAAGACCAACCACAGGTCCAGCCTGCCTTGCTCCCCATCAGCAACACCTGCCCCTCACGCTCCACCAGTACTGCACTGCTGCTCATCTCTCCCCACCCTCTGGGCTCTTCCTACTTTTGTGCCTTTGTTTATGCAGCCCCTCCTGCCTGGGGTGCTTCCCCACTCCCCTCCATCAGGTAACCTGCCCCTCATCCATTCCAGTCGTGTGCTGGTAAATGTTTAACAACTGGATTTCCAAAACAAACAAACAAAAGCCCTGATCTGGACCATTTGCTGATTTTCTGTGATATAAACATTCCCACTATGATGTCCAATTTTAAGCTACTAATGATGTCACTGCTCAGAGGTTGGGAGAAGATATGTGCAGTGTGCGAGCCAGCTCCAATACACTACTGATCTTGGATCACCTCCAGGAAGTCCGGCCCCAGCCTCCCTCTGGGCTTCACAGCAATGTGGACATTCTCCCGTCCTGTACTTCCTACCTTGTCTGGTAACTTACTTTTCGCCTCTTTCTTGCCACTAGAAGGTGCACTCCAGAAAGCAGAATATTACGGCCTTGTGTGCAATAATCACCTGCTGAATAAAGGGATGAGTCCAGAGCATGGGCACAGAGAAGGACACAAAGGAAGGGATACAAAAGAATGTGCCCATGCTCTGGACCCATCCCTGTTCTAGGTCACATTCTGTCAGTGACTCCCATGAGGTCTCAGAGCACATGCACAGATGATAAAGGAAGCTGGAAGGACAGTGATTTAGACGAAGGTCAAGTGAAGACTGAGGAAGAATAGGGCAGGTTGATTCATGGGGCCTAATACAATGAGCTGAAATTTTAAAGGGAAAGTGTGTCTTTCACTCAGACCTTCCAAAAACCACTGTATAAGCACAGACCTAGAGTGATGGGGCATGGCTATATCATAGGAGAAAAGACTTGGGGGTCTGAATGAATCTTGTAATCAGTGACCAGCAGGCTGTTGGACTCTGAATGGGATTAGAGTGTTCAGAGAAAAGGCAAGGAGGGAGGGAGAAAGAGAGAAAAGGAGCTGAGGGGAGAGGAAGCAGGCAGCAAGCCTCTAGCGCCTTCATCATAATTGGATCTTGGGGATGTTATCTCTGAAGAATACAAACTGAGTACAACTCACTTTCCAAACTTTAAATGACTTGAGGGACTAAAATGGTCCCAGAGAAAAGACTGGAATTTAAATTATCTTCTAAGGGCACTGTCAGTCTTTTGGAGAATGTGCCCTGAGCACACAGGGCGAGGGGAGAGGACCGGCTGGACCCTTCACCCGCTACACATTCTAAACCTTCACCCTTAGGAAACAAACCACTGTTGCTCACTATTTCTCTGATAAAGGTAAGCACAGGTTTTGACCATACCAAAATCTCCATGAGCACAGCTGCATTTCTGCCTTCAGATTTGATTGTAATAGAATGTGGGTTTGAGAAGGAGAGAGAGGAAGTCCTTTCACTGGTATAGTGCTAATGTCGAGGAGTCAAATAGACCCATCAAACTGAGAGTCTCTAAGGTCATTTGGCCTCACCTGGCTTTATGCAGAGGGGAAAGGCTTGCCCAGGACCCCATAGCTTATAGCCTTCATCTCACACAGTTGTCCCTTCTTGATTAAAAAGAGGGACCCCTTCTCCTTTTGCACTTAAGAACCCAAAGGCCAGCAATAATAAGAAGCCATGTTTCTAGATCTGATGATGCAGACATGCAGGAAATATTTTCCTTACATGATCCAGGTTCTCGGGAGAGGCTGGAGGGCTGGCTGACCAAGTAAAAACCTACCTGGGACTAACTCACTGCCCCAGGACACACGTCACAGGTAGCAGGTGTCCTGGACACCTGAGCTTAGAGTGCCCTGGGCAACTTGAGGATTCAAATTGGAGACTGTTCCCCGTACTGATCAGCTTTTGTAATCAATTTCTGGATGGTACACATGACTCTAAGAGATATATTAATTTTTTAAAGCCCTGGGAGAAAAATAGAGACTTCTCTTATTTATCTTTGTGCTGAAACCACTCTATTTCGGGATATGTGGAGGGCTTGCTGTGGAAGAGGGAGTAAAGCTGTAAAGGAGCAGATTTCAGCTCAATATCAAAGGGGAACTTCTTAAAGGAGCCTTGCCAGGGAGTTCACCATCACACCCCACACCACTCAGGGAGTCAGGCCGGCAGAGGACTGAGGAATGAAGTAAGGGACTTTCTACTTCGGAAAGTGAACAGATTGCTAAATAGACCCTAAGGCCTATTGTCAGTAGTGTTAGAGTGATTATTACAGTTGATGATGATGATGATGACGATGATGACAATGATGGTGATGTGAGTACTTAGGTAATTAATTATGTTGAGCACCACTTCCCCACCCCCACCCCGACCCCTGTCACCACCTACCACTAAATTTTGAGCTGTTTGAGGTTGGGGCTATGCTTTTCATTGCTGTGATCCTGGCACCTAGAGTTTATGCCTGGCCCAGAGAAGATGCTCAGTAAATGTCTATCAACAGGAATTAAATTATTATGGCACTGACTTGGTAACAGCCATAACGCTAAGCACCAACAGGGGAGTATCTTGGCTCCCCAGGAAGAAATGCCAGTTCACAGGAAAGAAGGGGACAGATGCCTGAGAGCACTTGGAACTATGGACATCTGGGAAGTTTATGAGCATTTTAGATACAGAGCAAATAAAACTGAGTGTCCAATGCCTTCACTGTTTCCAGAAAGTTTTCTACTGCTTCAGAACACACCCCAGTTCGGGGAGCACTTAGCTGTCCCAGGAAGAAGAGCTGACAGAGCAGGACTCAGGCTCTGGGAACAGTCTCAGGGCGAAGCCAGTGCCTCTGGTGCAGGCGGAGGGAGACTGACGAGAAGGAGGATGTTCAGTCAGAACTCTCCTTCAACCTGGTCACAGTGCACGCAAGGCCCACTCATGCCCTAAATGTGCAAAAGGACCAACGGCATGTTCAGATGTTGGCACTGTGTCTGGGCTAATTCTCTCCATGGGTGACACCAGCACAGAGGTGCTCGTGGCTCCCGCTGGCCCCAAGGAAACGGACACTTGAGTTTCTGTTTTTTTCCTGTTTGTTTTCTTTAAAAATTTTTTTAAATTAAATGTATTGGGGTGACACATGGGTTAATAAAGTTGTATAGGTTTTGAATGTACAATTCCGTAATACATAATCTGTATATTCCATTGTGTGTTCACCGCCCAACGTCGAATCTCCTCCTGTCACCATACATGACCCCCTTTACCCACTACTACCTCCCCTCCGTTCCCCTTTCTCCCTGGTACCCACCACACTGTCGTCTGGGTCTATGATTCGTTTGTTTGTCTTGTCTGTTCATATATTTTTTTCAGTTTTATAACCCACGTATGAGTGAGATCATATGCTCTTGACTTTTTCTGTCTGACTTATTTTGCTGCTTTAACATGATATTCTCAAAAATCCATCCACGTTGCTCAAATGACAGCATTTCACCTCTTCTCATGGCTGAGTTGTATTCCACTGTATGTATGTACCACATCTTCTTTGTCCAATCATCTATTGGAGGACACCGTGGTTGTTTCCATGTCTTGACCACTGCGCACAGGGCAGCTTGGGGACCGGTGTGGCCGGGCCCCAGGATGCAGTGCTCTGGGGCCCGCACACGCCTGCAACTGCAGCCGTGACAGCTTCGTGAGCCCACCACCTGCAGTTTGAATCGCTCTGCTGATTTTTATTTATATTGTCTTGTTCGCCTGTGCACCTTATTTTTTATTAATGAGTACCAGATGTTGTGTTGGCAAAATTATTTGTGGAAATGATTTAGGGACTGTAGTGATGTTACCTTCTTCCAGGGCGGATTCATGTTTGCCTCTGTTAGATATTTTGGAGCACCCAAAATCTGGGACAACTTCAGTCCGATTTCAGGGCTTGGGAAGATTTGAAGCTAGCTGTAAAACCTGGAAATGTGTGTTTCCCCCTGATTCACTCTTATTCTCATGGTGCTGCCCTGGGGGCGAGGGTCCCCTCCTACAGGAAGAAATTTAGTTAGAAACAGCTTTATGGTAGGCCTGGCACTTCAAAACCTGTTCCCCGCCTCCAGGAAGCTGGCAGTAGTGCCTCCTGGCTGCTCAGTGAAACACAGCTGCAAATGCTGGTCTTACTTCTCTGAGTTCCTACCTTTATCCCAGACTTATGACCTTAGGATTCCCTGTTCTTTCATTGCCTTGCCAATGCTTTACATAGATGTTTTACACAGTTTGTCCAGTTTTTATCATTGCCATCTGCAGGAGAGTTAATCCAAATTAACTTGGTTTTTTCTTACGAGAAACATAAATTAAATATTGATCTCTACTACATTTTTCCTAGAATCCTATAAAGATAGCCAAATTGTCAGAGCTATTTTCCAGTTGCTCAGCAGGGCGGGGATTTTTGCCCGGCTGCCCAGGCACGTTGGAGGTCACAGAGCGTTGAGGCTGACCTTTTCAGTTACTGCGAGCGGCAGAGTCGATACAACATGAACAGGTCCAATCAGACCACCACCGTGGTGGGGTTCATTCTGCTGGGCCTCTCCGCCCACCCAAGGCTGGAGAAAACGTTCTTTGTGCTCATCCTGCTGATGTACCTGATGGTCCTGCTGGGCAATGGGGTCCTGATCCTGGTGACCCTCCTTGACTCCCGCCTGCACACACCCATGTACTTCTTCTTGGGGAACCTCTCCTTCCTGGACATCTGCTACACCACCTCCTCAGTCCCCCTCATCCTTGACAGCTTCCTGACCCCCAAGAAAACCATCTCATTCTCAGCCTGTGCTGTGCAGATGTTCCTCTCTTTTGCCATGGGGGCCACAGAGTGTGTGCTCCTGAGCACAATGGCATTTGATCGCTATGTGGCCATCTGCAGCCCCCTGAGGTACCCCATGGTCATGAGTAAGGCTGCTTACGTGCCCATGGCTGCCGGCTCCTGGGCAGCTGGTATCACCAACTCAGTAGTTCAGACATCCCAGGCCATGAGGCTGCCCTTCTGTGGGGACAACACCATCAACCACTTCACCTGTGAGATTCTGGCTGTCCTGAAGTTGGCCTGTGCTGACATCTCCATCAATGTGATCAGCATGGTTGTGGCTAATGTGATCTTTCTTGCAATCCCTGTCCTGTTCATTTTCATCTCCTATGTGTTTATCATGGCTGCCATCCTGAGGATCCCCTCGGCCGAGGGGAGGAAAAAGGCCTTCTCCACCTGCTCTGCCCACCTCACAGTCGTGGTCGTCTTCTATGGGACCATCCTGTTCATGTATGGGAAACCCAAGTCCAAGGACCCACTGGGAGCAGACAAACAGGACCTTTCAGACAAACTCATCTCCCTCTTCTATGGGGTGGTGACCCCCATGCTCAACCCCATCATCTACAGCCTGAGGAACAAGGACGTGAAGGCTGCTGTGAGGAACCTGATTCTTCAGAAACATCTCACTAAGTGACTGTCACAGGCACCCACACTGTCAGAATGCAAGACCACCAAACTCTTCTTTGTACTTGTGGGAAAATGATAACCCAGGGGGACCCTTGGGCTATCAGGGGAAAGAGCCTTTTCTTTTCATTTCTGGTACTACTGACTAGTTCATTGGCTTCATACAAAACTACACTGTGTCGTATTAGAGCTATGCTTTGCTGCCAAATCTTCAATCTTCTGATACCAGAACTTGATAAGGAATAGATGTGCTCAAAATAAAAAAAATAAAAAAAACATTTGAGTGGTACGGGCCCTTAGAGCATATTGTCTTTCCCTGGGTAGAGCTGCTGCTTACTCTGTTCTGCTCTGGTCTCATCCAGAGACTTTTGCTCTATCTGATAGAGAGATAAATTGGGAAACACCATCTGCTTGAGCATATAACAGTGATCGTTAGCACCATGACAGGAATGCCACTTATATATTAGCACTAGAAATAGCAGGACTTATCCTGAGCAGCTGCTTTGTTTTGATCTACTGGAATCTTGCCATTCACCATATTCTCCTCTTCACTGTCACTGCGGGGAAGCTCAGAGGCAGACATGCCACCTCGCTGCAGCAGGTGGTGGAGCGCTGCCCGACTCAGTGCCTGCAGCTCCCACAGTTTCATCTGTGCAACCAACGTGGCACCTGGGTGGCAGTTACATACACCCAGCACGCACTCTATAAGTATGCCCACACTGTGATGAAACCCCCAAAATACTGGGGGGAAGCAAATGCAAAAATTATTCTTTTTTTTTTTTCAAAAATTATTCTTAATCCCACAGTTAATGAGAGGCCAGCAGAGAGAGTTACTCCCTACCACTAGTGGCCTGGGGACAGTGTAGCTCTCAGAGCTCTGAGCCTACAACTTTCTCCAATGCGCAAGGAATGTGCTGGAATAGTGTGTATTTCCTGTATTGCAGATATTATTTTAATGCACTTAAATTTGTGTTTGTAAAAGTGAGTTAGTACCAAACTTTGGTCCTTCAATTATTAGTGGTATATCACAGGTTATTTTCTCTTTTTTCCCTCCCTCTTTCTTCCTCACCCCCATGTTTAATCAGCTCGCTCCTCTACCTGGTTGGTAGTTGCCTCCAAAATTGTATTCATTTTCTATTGCTGTATAAAATGTATATATTTATAACCCATTCGAATTGAAAAAAACAAAGTTAGGAATGTATATTACCTAGTAAGTAATTGTATTAAATCCAACATCAGAAAAATTCTTGTATTGAAAATGGCATCTCTTTTAAGAATGGCGTACAGCGTGGGGCAAAAATAGGTTTATGGTTGTGAGTACACAAAACAATTTATTCTTAATCATTGTAATATTTTCTTTTAAAAATATATTTTACTGATTATGCTATTACAGTTGTTCCATTTCCCTCTCCACCCTGCACACCCCCTCCCACCCACATCCCCCCCTTTAGTTCATGTCCATGTGTCATAAGTTCTTTAGCTTCTACATTTCCCATACTATTCTTGCCCTCCCCCTGTCTATTTTCTACCTACCATCTATGCTACTTATTCTCTGTACCTTTCCCCCCTCTCTTCTCCTCCCACTCCCCTGGTGCTAACCCTCCATGTGATCTCCATTCTGTGCTTCTGTTCCTGTTCTAGTTGTTTGCTTAGTTTGCTTTTGTTTTAGGTGTGGTTGTTAATAACTGTGAGTTTGCTGTCTTTTTACTGTTCATATATTTTATCTTCTTTTTCTTAAATAAGTCCCTTTAACATTTCATATAATAATGGTTTGATGATGATGAACTCCTTGAACGTGACCTTATCTGAGAAGCACTTTATCTGCCCTTTCATTCTAAATGAAAGCTTTGCTGGATAGAGCAATCTTGGTTGTAGGTCTTTGGATTTCATGACTTGGAATACTTCTTTCCTGCCCCTTGTTGCCTGTAAGGTCTCTTTTGAGAAATCAGCTGACAGTCTGATGGGCACTCCTTTGTAGGTGACTGTCCCCTTATCTCTTGCTGCTTCTAGGATTCTCTCTTTCATTTGAATCTTGGCTAATGTAATGATGATGTGCCTTGGTGTGTTTCTTCTTGGGTCCAACTTCTTTGGGACTCTTTGAGCTTCCTGGATTTCCTGGAAGTCTATTTCCTTAGCCAGATTGGGGAAGTTCTCCTTTATTATTTGTTCAAATAACTTTTCCACTTGCTCTTTCTCTTCCCCTTCTGGTACCCCTATGATTCAGATGTTGGAATGTTTAAAGATGTCCTGGAGGTTCCTAAGCCTCTCCTCATTTTTTTGAATTCTTGTTTCTTCATTCTTTCCTGGTTGGATGTTTCTTTCTTCCTTCTGGTCCACTCTATTGGTTTGAGTTCCAGTTTCCTTTCCATTACTATTGGTTTTCTGTGCATTTTCCTTTATTTCATTTAGCATAGCCTTCATTTTTTCATCTAATTTGTGACCAAATTCAATCAATTCTGTAAGCATCCTGATCACCAGTGCTTTGAACTGTGCATCTGATAGGTTGGCTATCTCTTGGTCGCTTAGATGTATTGGCTCTGGGGCTTGGATCTGTTCTTCCGTTAGAGCCATTTTTTTTTTTTGGTCTTGACGTGCCTGTTACATAGTGAGGGGTGGAGCCTTAGGTGTTCACCAGGGCGGGGCAACCCAGTCTCTGGGTTGTGATGCTATATGTGGGTGCGGGGTCAGAGAGGAAACAATGGCGCTTGCTCCACTGTCTCCTGGAATTTCGGTCCCCTCTGCCACTTCCCACAAGCAAACTGGGCCCTTCTGGTGCTGGTTCCTGGGTGGGTGGGCTTGTGTACATTCTAGGACCCTGTGGGTCTCTTTAATGAACTCTCCTGTGAGTCTGGGAGTCTCTTCCAGCACCTCAAACCCCACAGGTGTTTTCAATTGGTGCTTTTAGGCTTTATTTCCTGGTGCTGGGGTCCTGGGTTGCGCAGTCTGTCTCACTGCCCGTTTTCACCTGGTTTATCTGCACATGAATGTGTGATCTTGGTAAGCCAGCCGCCTTGTGTGCCTTACTGGGTCTGCTTGTTGCCTCCATGCGCCCAGGTCTGCTGGATGCTGCCTGAGCACCCAGGTCGCCAGCCACGGCTTTTTTCCTGCCACGACCCCTCTCCTCTGGCCGCCAACTCTGCCCTTCTTACCAGTCTGGATGAATGGTTGTTGGTACAGTTCAATTTTCTGTCAGTTCTGGTTGTTTTTTTGTTTCTAAATTTTTGTTGTCCTTCTTTTAGTTGTGCGAGGAGGTTTAGTGTTTCTATCTAAGCCTCCATCTTGGCTGAAAGTCCAGTTATTGTAGTATTTTCCATATGAACAACTATAAACCTACTTTTGCCCCATACTGTATGTATGTGTATGCACATATGTGTGTTTGTATCTGGTTTCATAACTGGTATGGGAAAAGACTAAGAACAATGCATTGATTTATGGCTGCCTGAGTTAAGCTTTCTCCCACAATTTACTAAAGTAACTCAGTGATTTCCTACACATGGACTTTAATTCCAATCAGTTATTTCCCACATTTTGACTTCCTGCTCTGCAAAGAATACATAAATAAACCAAAATCTGTAATAACCATGTCTGATAAACTAGTATTCAAAAATGTTATCAAATATTTCGACAGGGGTAAAAATGGGGATTTTTTTGTAACCCTTTGCTTCCCCCAAAGTATTTTTAAAATTTTCATACAGTTTGGGCACACATTGTTCAGGCTCAGTTAGCCTCAATTCTATTTAGACTTCCATTCTTGAATTCAACATGATTTCCCTACTAAATGAATTCTTATTTAGGAAAAAATAAGAGAAAAATTTACTTGGGCTTGTGCAAGTGGATCTTTGTTCTATCAAAAACAACAAAAATAAGTAGGTTGGGATTAAAGTTGATGGCAGAGTCAGTGGCTCACAGCTGCCCCTGGCCACAGACTCAGGGGCCATCAAAATTCCCAGGGGCCCTTCTTAGGACCGGGGACGATGCCTGGGGGTTAAGTCTAGGCCCTTAGTCTAGTGGAAAGTCCATTAACATTCCAAATTGAATGATCACAACAGCTGTTGCTAGCACTCCCGAAGAAAATCAGAAAGCTGTTGGAAGAGCAGCTGGGTGGGGGAGGATCAGGAGTGGGGTAGGCAGGCAGCTCAGGTCAGCATAGACTGCGGTTGGGCGCCCCCTGCCCTGTTCCTCTAGAGGTGCTCTCAGCTTAGGCCAGGCAGTCAGAGATTTGCCTTCCAGTTCTGTCTCCGTTTGCCACTGCTGAGCTCTTGGCTAAGTTCTTTCCTTCTCTGAGCTGCAATTTCCTTGTCTGATAAATTAGAGTTTATCACCGCATTCCTCTCACGAGGCAATGTTTGTGAAAACACCTGGGGAAAGCCCAGAGAGGGAGAACTGATGGCTCACACGCCAAAACCTGCCACTCGTTGGTAAGGGATCTCCTCTGGGCTCGCTCTTCCACTGTTGCTTTCCACAGTTCACCGGCAAGGACTCCAAACCACTGGTGCCACCCAAAGTACTGTTTGAAGAAGACTCAAGTGCCTGATGGTGGCTCCTGCTGGAAACTGCCATCTGGTGGACATTTCTGTGAGATCCTGAGATCAGAGCTTCTCGAACTTCAGTTAATGTGCTCACTGGTCACCTAAGGAGATTGAGAAAATACAGACTCAGATTCAGTGAATCCGAGGAGGAGCCCCAGATTCTACGTCTCTGACAAGTTCCCAGCTGATGCCTCTGCTGCTGCTCTGCAGCCCACACTCTGAGCAGCAGGCCCTATCAGACTTGGGACCAGGGCTGAAGGAAGAGGCTGGGAAGCAACTCCTGGGTGGAAGTCTCCTGCTGTGAGTCAAGCCCTCCCACATCCACACCCCATTCCGGTCCTCTGATGTTGGGGCAGCAGTTTGCCCTGTGACCTCACTTCCCTTATGGATCTAAGAAGGTCTGTTGATTTATCAGCATGTTCATCCTTTTACTTGCTAGTAGCAAGTAAAGTGGGGTGACTTCTAGCACGTAAGCGTGCTA